ATTTTCTTGGTCTTGAGATAACTACATCTACAGATGGTTATTATCTTACTTAGGCGAAATCCATATCCGATCTTCTCTCAAAATTAGGTCTCATTAACAGCAAGATTGTTGATACCCCCTTGAGTGCAATATAAGACTTAATCTACATGATGGAGAATCTCTTCGAGATGGTACTTTGTATCACCAATTGGTAGGTAGTCTAGTTTATCTCACTGTCATTCGTCCTGACATCTCTCATGTTGTCCACATAGTTAGTCAGTTAATGACTGCCCCTCAGTCATCCTTCATTATCTTAAAGGCACTATGTTTCATGGTCTACATTTTTCTTCCCAATCATCATTTATTCTTCATGCCTATTCAGATGCAAATTGGGCAGGAGATCCTACATATCGCCGTTCCACCACAAGCTATTATTTCTTTCTTGGTGATTTACTTATCTCTTGGCGCAGCAAGAAACAAAATGTGGTTGCACGATCTAGTACAAAAGCTGAATACATGGCTCTTGCTGATACTACTTCTGAGCTTCTGTGGTTGCATTGACTCCTTTAAGACATGGGAGTTTCTTCATCCACTGCCACTCCTATTTATTGTGATAATAGGAGTGTAATCCAGATCGCACATAATGATGTTTTTCATGAGCGCACTAAATTTATTGAGATTGACTATCGTTTTGTTCATCATTATCTTCTTCAAAGGACCTTACAATTACTTTCCATCACTTCACATGATCATATCGCTGATGTCTTCACCAAATCGCTTCCGTCATGCCACTTTCAAGATCTTATTTCCAAACTCAAGCTGGTTTCATTCAATCCACCTTGATTTTGAGGGGGACTATTAGAATATATTATTACTATACTATATAATATATTCTAACCTTATATAGGATTACCATATGTAGATTTACCTTGTATAGGATTACCATATGTATAGTTAACATATACATATAGGGTTTACTTGTTCATCACATATAACCCCTCCTGTATAAACCCCTCTTGTATACATCTTATTTCATATCAATATACAATACAGAGTTCTCTCTTTTGTAATTAACACTATCGAAATCTCTTCTTCCCCTTGTGATCAATCTCAGGATTATCCCCCTTCATCCTCATGGCAGACTGGTAGAGCCATAATCCTAAGTCTCAGAGTATTATCAGAAGATATGATGGTCTCAAAAATATGATCTTAAAAGGTCACACTAAAATAAAGAGTTATATAGATAACTTGTGCATGAAAGCTAATTCAACCAATTTCAATCTTTTTTCTTGCAGAGAGAGATCACTTCAACAAATTTGGGTATTTGCCACGCATAAAATTTGTGGCAGAAAGTAGTAATATTGCAATCTAGACAAGTCTAACCAGTCACACTTCTTCTTCAACCGATCGCACTTAGCCAGTAGGTAGTAATAAGTAACTATTGCAATCTGTTAGAGTCCGACTGATCACACCTTTCTTGGACTAGTCGTACTTCTGGGAATTCCCATTATTTATAGACTGGGAAAGTCCAGCCTGTCCAACTAAGTTCAACCGATCACTATCTCCTGACAAGTTGCAGGATTTTCCATTTTAGTAAGTTTCCTTTTTACACAAAATCTCCTAGGAAGTCCTAGTATGATTTTAAAAGGTCATTCTAAATATTTTGGGGAATCTCTTTAGGTATAAATACCTCTCTTAACTTCAATCCTAGTGAGACTTGATTTCTTTAATCTGAAAAACCTTGATTTATTTTCTACATCATTATTGAAACTTTTTGAGAGATTGTTTAGAAAAAGTTTGTTTATCTTTTTGAAGCACACACTTGAACACAGAGTGATTTAGGGTGATGTTCTTCATCTGATCAAGGGATTTACAAAGTCTAGTTCATATTCCAAAGATTGATCAGAGTTTTGCCTTCACAAATTTAAGATTTGAAAGAATGACGTTAACAGAGCATTCGCAGAGTGTTCCTTTTCTTCCAGCAACCATTCTATAAGGATTGAGGAGTAAAATTGAATTCTAAAGCGTTATAACAATGTAACAACCCGAACCTGGGGGTCCGAATCATTATTCGGGTTCTTAACTGAACCCGATGTCATCTACTGCAATACGTCAAGATAAAATTAATACATCATCGTATGGTTTATAGTGCACCATTGCATCGTCATGCGGCTCGGGGTTGGTTATAAGGGAAGAAGAAGTGAAGATAAATGAAGACTGGGAACCAGTCGACGTATGTAGGGTAATCCTTGAACTTTGAACACGAGACTTTCCAACTCTATAATGACATATGTGCTCCAACCATGATTCAAAATCCAGTCTGAGGAAGCATATAGTGTGAACAAATTATCTTTCTCACCAAACATCAATCCAATTATTCCAGAAGACATTGGACTTCCATTATGCACATCATCATCACCAAATCTGGAATCGTCTTTGTCAATTGTACCAACCTAATTTCCATTCAAATCACCGTTTGACACAACTTTTTGGACCTCAGGTGCTTCTTGGCAGTACTTCTCATCTTGGGCAGTATAAAAACTGCCTGTTTAGTTTCTCTCACAACTTGTACATTGATAGAACCATTTTTGTCTAGGAACAATAAATACAAATCTAAAATAAAAACTCCCATTTGATTAATGATAGTTCAAAATCCATTACATTGTTTATTAAAATAGCTTAAAAAACCTTGCAAAGCATAAAATCAAACACATTTAACCTTGGAGGATTTTATGATGAACAAAATCCCATGAAAAAAACCAAGTTGAACATTACAATTGGAATATCCTATTGAAGGACACACTTAAAAGTGAAATGAATAGAAGACTTCAAAGAGCCTTGTTACTCAGATAAAATTAGAAAATAATTAAGGAATATCACATGGAAATGACACAATTAAAGTAGTTTATGATAGTTAGTATTAAGTGTTACATTTGTTAGGGAAATGGATATTTTTCAAAAATAAGAAGAGGGATTTTAATCTTTGGACCTTAATTCATCTCTAAAAGCAAGTTTAGTGCAAGAATAAGATAATGTTCATCACAGAGTTAGTAAACTTACAAAGAGGTTCGAGAAAATGTCACAAATCTCCACAAAAGTGAATGTTCTCACTTACAGAAGCTTGATCTACAATCTTTAGGCCTGCTTCTTCCTTATATGTGGATTTGCCTTTAGGAAACACTAATATGCCTTCATGAATGACCTTGGAGGCATAGCTTATGGGAGCTCTTTGAAAATGAGTACACTCAAACCCAAATTGTAAAGGCAAAAAGTATTTTGTTTCACACTCTAATGGTGCCCAAAGGCTTACTAATGATACATGTCATACATGTATATATAGACACAATGAGTGGAAATAATAATTCTTAATCTCTACAAATAAAAGTGATAACTTTAATCCTCATGGGCCTCTAATATCAAGTTGGGTTATTGTTGAGAATCTGTTGGGCTTGCTATTCTCTTGGCTCTAATGTATTAATAATTCTTGACCCGGTCCAACAACCATTAACGCAATTCAATTAATTCATAAATTAATTTCTACTCCACTAAAAGAAATTAATTGATCTCCAATCAAATAGTAAATAACCACTAAGTCAATGTTGCACTTTGACTCCTCTATGCATAATTAGCTATCGGATAATTAAAGCCATCAATTCGACCGCACAATTAATATATGTATTTTAATTCCTTGATTATTTTCCGGTTTGATCACAATAAAACATTTGTTTGGCAAAAATAATAATTTAGTAAATAAATACATAAAAACTATTTTATCTAAAACACACAAAGGCATTCAAAGTTACTTTGTAATCAACCATAATTAATACAAAATAAATACAAATAACAATAATGTAAATATTGAAAATAATATAACCCTCTAACTATTAATTACATAATTACCCAAAGTGTCGGTCACGGGATCCCATGAAATCCTTCGATTAAATCAAAGTAATCATTAATTAATAAAAGAGTCTATACTTCTCTTGTACTTAAGAGTCAAATGACATGACAATGATAGAGAAAAATTACATACGACAGCTCTCGCAATATATCTTAACCCATCGCGGATTCGGTTCAAATCTTAGTTAATTAAAACTTCATCATTAATTACCGACTATGAGCTATTTATGATTACTATTTATATTATTGTATTGATCACAATCACATACATACAAATATCTCTTGCAATCAATTGGACACATTCAATTCCATAATGAATAAAAAAAACACAATAAGTTTGCATTCACCAATTGTACCAAACATAAATATCATTTCAAATCACTACAACAGTTCTGACTTTTACCAGCGCTCAAAAGCACTGGTAAAAGTCTTAAAAAGTGCTGGTAAATCCAGTGTCGGTAGCCTTTGCCAGTGCTTTTCCAGAAGCGCTGGCATAGAGTATTTACCAGCGCTTTCTGCAAAAGCGCTAGTAAAGGGTCATTTAATTTTTTTTTTCCTCCACCCCTATGCTAGCGCTTCTTAAAAGAGCGCTAGTAAAGGGTCATTTTATATATATATATATATATATATATATATTTTAATTGTTTTTGAAAAAAAAAAAAAAATCTTTACGGCTACTAAATGTCATCCAATATAACACAAGTCAATATAAAAATACCATCCAAATTATTTTTACATAATACAACCACAAGTTAACCTACTGCCAATATGAAAAATACCATCGAAATTGACTACTAATAGATAAAGCTTGTAAATGTCAACCAAAAAGCCAAAATGTATACTAATACAACCACAAGTTAACCTACCAATATGAAAATACCATCCAAATTGTCCAGATAAAGCTACTAAATGTCACACAAAAAGAATTAATTTTTTTTGACAAATGTAGTACAAGTTTTTCAAAAATAACCCATCCATGGCGAAGGAAATTCAGAAAGCACTACCATGACCCCATCTTCAGCTTCAACTTCAACAAGTCTTCTTGCCCATTTGTTTTGAATTACCCAACATTTTTTATAAATTCATTAAGCGCACATTATAATAAACAGAAATTTAACATATAAGAGAAATTAAAAGTTCATAACCTTCATTGAATTGGCATCACAACTAGAAAATGAATTTGGGGATACTCTACGAGGAGCATTTAAAGAATTAGAACCCTTCAAAATAACAAAACAAAATACATGAAATCTTGGCATAAGTAAGCATATATTTAGTAAAGAGTAAAACTAATAATAAATATACCTGTCCACTATAATTTTGTTGTTGCATCTGCAGTAGCATTTTCCAACCTTTCGTCGTAGTTGGCTCGTAAATTTTCCAACTTCTTGTCATAATCGGCTTGCATTTTTGAAATAGTCTCCTGCAACTCTACACGTACAGCACATGCCTCCCCATCAGATTTTTTGGCATTATTAATTAGTTCAGCTTTACTAGGAGAGGGCCCCCAAACATCGTTTGGTGTAGGCTTGAAGCCAAGCATCCGCACACGACCAGTTCTCTCTTCTCCCCTCACAATGGAGAACAAATCATTGGAACTGCCAATAAGCGAGTCAGAATAACTTTTTTGAAGTTCTTTTATGCTTTCCTACAAAATAAAAAAAATAAAAAAAATAATGAATGTATAGAAAATAAATTAAACGTGTCCAACATTTGGGTGGTATATTTGACTTTCAGAATGGAGGGAGATTCTGGACTAATGTGAAAGAGCAGCGGTGAAAAATGGACTCAATTTTTTAAATTTCTAGTCCAAATGCAAGAAATTACTTGCCTTTTGATGTGAATTTATCTAAAACTTAAATCTATCTTTTGTTTACTACAACAAGTCCAAGTTTTATATGGTGGCATCTAGAAGACTAATAACATTTATGAGAAATTTTCTGAGGAATTTGGGAAGATCAATGAACTTCACTAGTTTAGAGACATTGTCCCTTACAATATATCAACATTGCACTATGTCATAGGAAATGAAGAACGAACTGGTGTCACTATAAGTCAAAGCATTCAAGTGAAATGCTCAAAAATAAGAAGTGAAGTGAGAGACAGATTTTTTTTTTTATTTTTTTTTATTTTTTAAAGTTCACTAAAATTTCAAAAACAAAAAAATCAATATTATCAGTCAATGGATCTAAAATTAAAACCCAAAAACTGCAACACATAAACGAATATTGGTGAAGTTAAAACACATAAACTGCAACACATAAAATTAAAACCCAAAAATTAGAACAGAAAATTACCCAACTTTAGCAGATTGGAAATGATTAGTGTGTATAGAAACAGTTTGTAGAGAGAGTTTTAGAGAGAGACCAGTGTGTAGAGAGAGAGAGTTTTATGAAATCATTATCTGCTTCCCACGACATTCTTTATTCTTTTTGCTGACCTCCTACAAAAAGTTGTGACAAAAAGTAAACGTTCTTTGAGTAAAGAACATTCCACCTAAAATAATAGCTGAAAGTAGGTAAACTATAAATTCAACTCATTTGACTTCAAAAAACATTGTGATAGATGGAGGATTACCTTTGCCATAGGTATACCCCAATGCCTAACCGAAAATTCCCAATGCTCCTTTTCAACATCAGGTGGTGGGTTTGCCAATCTTTCTGCATCTGTATCCATAACCGAGTAGTATTCACACTTGTACCCCCTCAATTTTATTCCGATGAAGGATAATGTCCACTGTTTTGACATGATTCCCACATCATACTTTCCCTGAAAATGTGATAATTGTTGCATGTTCATCCACTTTTTTCATTAACATTATTTTAATGTCATTGAAGGGTTTTACCTTTACAATGTTCCACATATCCTCTTTTAGCCGTTTAGGCATCTCCCACCAAGTTTTGCAGCACAAATGAGCTAATTTACCTTTTCGGGCAAGTGTTCCCAAATAATTAGTATATGTACCACTTCCAACGTCGATCGGCTGTCCATACTTATTAACCCTAAACAAAAATTAACAATTGTAGATGTTTAGTACAAAAATAAAGATAGAAATCCTTTTTTCTCCTTCATAGTGAATATAGTCTAATTATGTAAACTATATAAGATGATCTCTATATATATGTACCTTAATGGTAATAAAGTTGTCGCGTTTACGACATTGTTGCATCGTGTCAGGCCTTGTCTCTTCTTCGGCGGTGGTTGTGATGATTTTGAAGTTGAAGCTTCGGTATTTTGTTCACTCACTTTTTCTACTTCACTAACTGTTCGTTTCATTGTTAGCTTATTATTTATCCTTCCTGTAAAAGCAAACAAAAAGTGAGAATTCATTTAAGAGAATGCAATCAAATTGTTAAAAAGAGGCGGTGCACAATCCAAGTAAAACCAATAAAAAGAAATAACAAATACCTCAAAACTTTAGGGCGTTTTTGGTTGTCCAATGGAAATTATTTAAAACCATTCTGTTTTCCACTTATACAATAATGTGCCAAGAATAGATCGAAACATATTAAAAATAAATAAGCACACAAAAAAACTAAATCAGTTTTCATGGGAATTGTACATATGCATACTACAAAATATGATACTAAAGATGAAATATTACATGTGCATGCTACAAAATATGATACTGCAATATTTTGTCAAAGCTACGAAGGAAACCGAGACAAAGGCTGAATTATAGTGGTCATATTGTCAGCAATTACAATAACATAGCAAGCTCAGTGTCTTATAGCATACAAAAACATAATTTTTTGTTCAAGTAGAAGGCAAACAAGAGAACAAAATTGTATTTGACAACAAAAGAAACCAAATATTATATGAAAACACTAATCTAACCTGAAGAAGGTGGTATGTGATAGCAGCAAATTTCAATGTTTTAAGGATGATCCAATAGGAGTTAGAATGGTATTAAAAGATATGTTAGGAGTAGGAGTTACAACCTATTAGCATATTGAAAAGATGCTAGTACCCTCATTTATAAGTGTAGTAATTTATATATATTTAGTTTTAAGGGCTTATGAGTAAAATAATAGACCATTCCTTTGCTTCCCTTCCTTTCAAGTTTTAACCTAAAAAAAGGCAGGATGCACACCCTCCGGATGCCTTTTCCATCCCCGCTCTCTTCACTTCCATCCATTTCTCCATCCCCCCTACCGAACATAGCATAAAATAGGAACTAATATAACCAACTACCTAGCAGCCCAAGTAATTATTTACATATACCCCAAACACCCATATGCACATGTGGATATTGATTATTAAAAAAACTATATATTGTTTTTCATTGAAATGCAACATAATACAGCAGTAAGAAAATGGATATGCTACTACATGACATGTGCACAACATTTCCTTTTCAATCTATATGGGTTTCAATTGTCACACAAGTATGTTCAACAATTAAAAAAATTCAGCCACCTCATCACACAAATATATTCTCAGCATTGTGTATTCAACTTGAATGATACCTAAAAGAGAACTAAAAACAACGCCGGGAGTAAGAACATAGAAAAGATGGAAGGTAGAAATGAAGTTGCACCTTCAGATTTGATTCCACCTTAAGAGTCGGAGCTTAGAAAAGATCAAGAGGATCTGTCGCCACCCAATCTTGATAAGCTGACGGAAAATCTACACTAGACTTGCAAGAAGAGAAATTTTCCATATTCAGAATTCCAACCCATTCAATTATTGGTATTAAGCATGCAATGTAACAACTACTATACCAGATAAGCTCTGCATTTCAACAGAACCCTACCCAAAGCACTTCAGTATTAAGGTAATTAAAAGTTTGATGCCGCCTGACTTACTTTTCATCAATGATAGCCAACTAATTTTGCATCAATAGATGAAAGGCATTGCTGTCTTGCATTAGGACTAAAATGGCTAAAATTTGTTGTTCAAGATTTTTGTGACCCCATGTATCTAACAGCACTCATAGTTAAATTCATATACTTAAATAAAAATAAATAAATAAATAAATAAACTCATATAAGGATCATAATACAAATCATTAAAACAACAATTGAGATTTTTAATACACCTAAATCTAATTGTTTGTGTGAAATGTAATTAGTTATCAGTCATATATACTCACAGAAGCTTGGGTAGATTCGGATTCTAGGAAATAATCAGCAACTCAACAACAAATTGATAAATCTATATGGTATTCATTTCTCTCTAGCTATACATGCATATATATAAGATGAATTACAAGAAAACGAAGGACGCTCCTAGCGTTTCAAACCCTAATTTCAGATATCTGGCTAAATAACAACATATCCAGCATTTCTTGTGTTACAAACCCTAGATTCTAATTTTTTGTTTCTTTTATTAAAGAACAAGAAAAGCAAACATGTATAGTGTGTGTGTATATATATATATATATATATATATATATATAGAGAGAGAGAGAGAGAGAGAGAGAAAGAGAGAGAGAAAGGGGAGTATTTACCACCAAGAGAGAGAGGATGAGTAGGATCCGTGACGGGAAGGGAGAATATGAATTTGAGGTACTCTGAAACGCAGGTGGAAAAAAGGGGAGGATGATGGTGGTGATGGTAGAGAGAGCCTACGATGAGCTGAAGAAGTGCTTCAGCTGAGAAATGGAGATCGAGCAGTGAGAGATGGAGATAGGGTAGAGGAGTCTTGCAGCTGAGATGGAGATCGAGCAATGAGAGATGGAGATCGAGCAATGAGAGATCGAGATAGAGCAAAGAGGAAGAGAAGACTGAGGGACGAACCAAAAGGGGAGACGGATGAATTAGGGCTAAATGAAATGGAAATGGGAAAGTGGAATATAGTGTTAAGGGAGGGAAAAAGTGGAGGGAAGAGAAAAATTGGAGGGAAGGGGAAAAAAGGAGGAGGGAAAGGAAGGCCATTACTAACGCTCTTTTTAAGAGCGTTGGTACTATTACAAGTGCTATAGCGCTTTTTCTTAAAGCGCTGGTAGGATTACACCTATACCAGCGTTTTTTTGTAAAGCACTAGTAGGATTACATCTATACCAGCGCTTTTTGTTAAAGTGCTAGTATGATTACACCTACACCAGCACTTTTCTAAAAAGCGCTGGTAAAAGCCTAATCTGTTGTAGTTAATTAACGCAAGGAATATATGTCTATTTTTTACCTATTTTACTATTGTTGTTTTCATTTCTTAATTTATGTTATTATGTTAATGTTCTGTTATTGAGAGTATTCTATGTTTTATTCTATATCGTTGCTATTTTCTTTTGTTCACATTGTTTTATCATTCATTGTAATTAAAGAATTGCAAAATGAATTATTCATTATTTTATCTTATTGTGTGTTAATAGATTATTTTATTATCCTTTGTGTTTTTTTCTATAAAATATGTAAAAAAATTCACTACAAAATGTAATCTGTATCACTTTCAAATTTCAGTTTTTATTTTTAACAAACAATGTTAATGAATTCAGCATTTAAAATTAAGACATTTATCAGAAAAGTTTTCAAATTACTAAATTCAGCACTTAAATTCAGTACTTAAAACTTTCAGTGCTTAATTTTCAATTTTATCAAATAACACCGTAGTCTGATATAAACTCTCGAGAGACACACGTATTGAACTTGTTGACCTAAAGTTATTGCCTTCCCTACATACAAGTATGGATAGTGTCAGTCAGTTCAAAGATACACTCAAATCAACTCTTCGTAGCACCTCCCTTATGTGCAAGACCATAAGAAGGCAATGGTGTAAGGGCCCAAGTTTTACAAATCAGGTGCGTCAATGATGACCAGAAAGTTGACCCTATAACCTGTGACGGCCTAAGTTTTACAAACCCGGTGCGTCAATGATGACCCGAAACTTGACCCGATAACGGATCTGAAATGTGGAACCAAAAGATAAAACAAGTCCTCTAGAGATGTACGTCATCCCTAAGGCACCAAAATGACTCCCCACGAAGCCACGAAACTAAATGAGACTAGTGCGGAAACTAGGGTTTCAAAACTCGACAAGAAATGAATTAAGGGCAAAATGGTCATTTCATATAGAGATAGATGCTACCATTCACACCATTGGATAGACAATGAAAAATTAACAGGGTTTAACTCAAGAATCACTTGATTCGTAGTCCGGACGAAAGAGTTTTGGTCCAAACAAGTTCGTGGAACAAGGCTACCAAAAATGACCCAAAGGCAGCAGGCACCCGCCAAGGCCAACACTACCGGCGGACACCAAATCCTGTAGGCACCCGCTAAATAGTAGAGTTGCTGCCAAGGAGATGAAAATGGGGGTTCGGGTGGTTTTTAAAACAACTAAATTGAATATGCAGCCCTAAAATATACCCACAAGGCCAACGAAAGTTTCAGAACGGTCGACATGTTTTTCAAAAAAAAAAAAAAAGTTGATGAATAGTAACATGCTCTAAAATTTCAAAAGAGGCTTAAACCAGAAAATCTAAATTAACGCGGGATTTTCGAGACCAATACAATGTTTTTTGGAAAAAAGTTGTGAAGTGACCCTCCCTAAAATCACATTTTCTAAGTGACCATGTCAAGATCAAAGCTTATTTTTCAAGGTAAATACCCAAATTGCCCTTCTACTCTTATTTTGCGAAAAATGCAAATGCATAAGACTCAAAGTGCCCATTTCATCAATTATGAGGTTGTGTGCAAAAGTAAACATACACACAAACGTAATATGCATATTTAAGCATGCTAGAATGGCCCACGGCCTCAAAATATGCCAAACATAAAATAAGACATGTCAAGCCTCTACTATCAATAGAATTGCCTTTAAAAGTAAAATACGGAATTAAGGCACATAAATGAAAACGAAAAGGCATTTGGCCCTAGGACACATATTATACATATATAGTGAGTCTCAAAAAGTGTACGTAGGTACACATTACATTTCTCAAGGTAAAAACAATATGTTGAAACCAAACGTATATTAAAATTTTAAAAGAAAACATAGCATGCTAACACTTGCATGCATGTGAAATTTACACAAAAAGGGCATCCAAAGCTATCATGCCAACCTAGGGATATTGTGCATCCCAAAATAAGGTCTCATTACCTGAAAAGTATCCCAACAACTAAGGTGAGTAAACAAAGTTACTCGTAGGAAATGAACATGCGTATAACCTAAAGTTTTAATACTTTTTCAAATCAATATAAACCGATCTATGTGGTTCATGACGCCCAACGTCTATGTTCAAAGTGTGACTATAGGTTCGGTAATACCCCTAGTTTTCAAAAGGATATAAAAGGGATTTAATTATTTATTTTATTGTATTTTAGGTGCTTATGTGGCTTCATGTTATATGTTTATTTGTTTTAACTGCTTATTTGAGTTTATTTGATTCATTATTTATTTGAAATATGTAATTTAATTGTGTGTTTTAATTGATTATTAACGTGCGAAGTTTGTTTAATTGTGTGAAGTTTCTTGTCAATTATTTGTTAGTTGTAAATGATTAATTGTTTTATTTTAATTTTAATTTAAAAATGGAGTTGGATTTGGATTGTAATAATGGACCAAATAAATGGGTCACATGAACTACTAGGATGGATCTACATGGGTAAGGGTTACGACCCATGGGTATTGGAGGTTATTATTATTATTATTCTAATTAATAATGATAAGGAGGATTCAGTTATATATATATTTATATAAATATATAATTATATTATATTTGTAAATAGTTACATATATATGTAAATACGTAATATTATAAGGTAGTAGTAATATTACTATATAGTTGTATTATATTTATAAGTAGACTTGTATTACGTATAGGATTAAGGTTAAATAATATTGCCTATATTTATATATTTAAGTCAATAGAGGAGAAGGCTAGGTTTATTACTGGAGTTGTATTATACCTAAAGAAAGAGAAGTAATAGAGATGTCAGAAGAGAAATCGAGAGACAAGAGAGGGTTTTGGCCAAAGAATTAGGCTGGACCAAGGAGGAAGGTTGAGGGATGTTCGGGGGTTAGAACTAGAGCAGTAGAAGGCTTTGACGGTGACTAGGTATCGCCAGAAAAGCTAAGAAGCAGAGGTTAAGATTTCAATATGAAACCAAGAGGCAAGTTTTACTCTTACTCTTTCCCTTCGATTTGTGTTCTATACATGCTTAGGACAATTCCAGGATTAATCAGATATTAATTGGATCTTTCTTGCATGCTTAATTGGAATTAAAATTGAATTTATATGTTTCTATGTGTAATGACTTGATCTTAATCATACTTGCAAGAGTACTTGTTTTGATTCGTGTTATTGATGTAAAATATCTTTAATTAATTGTCTGGGATTGTTTGGGACATAGAACGGAGGTTTAGAACCTTTAACAATGTTAATCGAAAAGATAGGAGAACGCCGAGGACGAAGAAGAAGGAGTAGAACAGGTTGAGAGCCGGCTCCCAAAGGCATGGAGCCAGCTCCCAATTAAACTCTTACGGCTCTCGAAGGAGAGAGCCGGCTCCATGGAAGAGGGAGCCGGCTCCCTCAGGCCGAGAGCATGCTCTTTTAGTTGAGAGCTTGCTCTATTAGTTTGAGAGCTTGCTCCATTAATTTGAGAGCATGCTCCATTAGTTTGAGAGCTTGCTCCATTAGGTTGAGAGCTTGCTCTATTGAGGACAGAACTTGTTCTCTCAAAACGAGAGTATGCTCCATTAATAGGAACTTGTAGATTTTGTGTTTTTTAAAAGGTTATATTTAACTGTTAGGGGGGGTTTCTTCTTCGTGTTTTTCCAGAAAAATTTGCTTCGGACCTCGTTTCGGCTTTCAGTTCTGGCTAAATCTTTTTTTTCCCCTAGTATGTCATGGTGCTTGTCTGGATGCTCGTGGGATGCTCATGGGGTGCTCGTGGTGCCCCGTCGTGACGTCAATTTTTGTTTTCGCTCGTTCTTCTTTGTCCGGACTCCAAATCGAGTTAACTTTTTTTTGAACTTGACTAATTTTTTACTGTCTTTCCAAAGGTGTGCTTGGTTACAATCAGATCTTCCTGGATAATTACCAGTTTACCCTTTTAGCCTTAAGTACTCGTTTTTCTTTGTCATGTCGTTTCTCCTTCGTCCGGACTCCAAATCATGCAATTTTTGAGTCCATCCTGATTAGTTTTTCATTGTATTTCTAGCAGTGTGCTCGGTGGCACCCGAATCCATATTTTCAAAAATGACTATTTTGCCCTTGGGGCTATTTTTGTCCAGTTATTCTCGCTTTCCGCTTCCGTTACTTTCTTTTGAGTTCCGTGACTTCATGGGAAGTCACAGATGTGTTTCAGGAATGATATGCATTTTAGGGACGTCATTATCATATAAAATGACTATTTTGCCCCCGAGGGCTTAATTGTTATTTTTTCGATCTTTTGCTTCCGTGTCAGATCTCATTGAGTTCCATGACCTCATGGTAGGTCATCAAAGTGTCTTAGAGGTGTGTTGTGCTTTGGCAGACTATTGCCTTGTTTCTTGCTTCTGCATCTAGATTCGCTATCGGGTCAATCTTCGGTTCATCACAGGACGCACTGGCTTGAAAAACCAGGGTCGTCACATATATATGCGGACTACTAGTTATTGTTGGATTGCCTAGAATGTATACATGTATCGGATCTCTGCTTGCACTATAGTAGGGTAGAACTTGTTTGTGGGCCTGACGCACCATTATTTTTCAGGTGTTCGTCAGAAGTAAGGATTGTTCGTGTTAAGCAGGGATCATTTGCTTCACTCTTCTGGATTATTTACTTAGGAGTTCATTTATGTTTTAGTTTTATGATGTAGACAGTTATTGCTATCATTTGTTTAGTTTTGGTTTTCCAGGGATCCACAGAGTATGGATTTTCGAGTTGTATAAATTGAAGGATTACTTGTGTCAGAAAAATTTGTTA